TAAAGATCGTCAAAAATTTAAAAAAGAATGCTCTGCATAATGTAAAGATTGTAAGATGAATCAAAAATTTAAGAAAAATTTAAAGAATATATTTGTGTCAACCAGAAAGTGTTGTACCATTTCCAAAGAAATACAAAAAGATATGACAGTTATGTGGCTTTCTTTTTATGAATAAATGTGTGCAAACCATAATAATTGGAATTTGAAAATGAACTGGTTACATCTTAGGAATTCTGGCAATTCAATAGATCTTGAACGAATTTTTCTGGCTGCATTTAAAATCCTTTCTCGAGACGTTCATAATATAACGTCAACTTCTAAGATGGAGTTTTTAACCAAATGCTATTGAAACAGAATCTGTATATTCTAATACTTTTAAATTCTACCAATGTTCTATGATTTAAAAATGTTATTTTTTGTTTCTTTATGTATTCTGATGTTCAATTAAGAACTTGCATAAGATCTTTGAACACAATCAAAAAATTTATTCCAAATAAATTTCGGTTGTAGTTGTTTAATTTAGTTTCTACTTTGAAATAAAATAAGACTTGACTATGAATGTGTTAAATGCACAAATAAAAAAATTGTCTGTGCAAACCAAATTCCAGCTCCCCTAGGTAAAGTTACAAATGATATTCTATTTTAGTTTCTATTGTGGAATTAGAGGAATGATCGCCCACTTGGAGAAGTGGTTTCGCATTGAAGACATACTGTGCAAACCTGAAGAAATTGCAAAAAGCTGTCAGAAAGAAATGTCCTGATTTTTTAACAGATGTTATGACCCTCCTCCATTATCATGGAGAGGGTCATAACATTTCTGAAATTCACACTTTATGGAGCACACAGGACTTGCTGCATAGCTTCTAGTGGACTATTTTGAGCATCAGCCCTACAGTCCAAATTTGGCACTTAGTGATTTTCCCTGCTGTAATTGAGTGCAAGGCTGGTTGCTGCTTTATGTATGACAATGAGTACGAATGTGCTGCAAGAATGTGGCTACGACAACAGAGTTTGGACTTCTTCAGTATCAGGATGGAAAAACGTATTTCATGCTGTGACGAGTATTTGAACCATAATTGAAACTATGTGGAAAAGTAAAGTATTGTTGCCACTTTATCAGTTCACAACCTTGTATTTTTCTTCCGTAGGGAAACTTTTTTCTGATTGCCCCTCGTAGTTTTCTACGAGGGGCAATCAGAAAAAAGTTCAAAATCAAAGTGCAATTGATCTGTACAATTTACAAAAATAATATTTTGTAAATTGTACAGATCAATTGCACTTTGGGTGAAATCATTGTTTAATTAAATTAGATGTTTATTGCTTTCTAAGACTATTCTAATTCTAATTATTCTAAGTCAGCTGTTTAAATTGTCAGTGTAAAAATTACATAAAAATCAAGTCAGTTTAAAAATTTGCTTTTCTTTATTAAGTGTAGAAACACTCATGTTTTTATATTTTGATTTATGCAAATAATTGAAAAGAGAAATATTGATACAATATCTAAAACACCGTACGAAGGCATCACGTGAAATACCTTAACAACTATTTCTATATGTTTTTACCTTAAATAAACCAATTGCTGAAAAGTGTGAAAAGTATTGTTTTGACAAAACAACTATTATATTGAGTATTAGAATTTGGAATAAATTATAACTTGAAGCATTGCTTTTTGAGAAATTAAGACAACTTACAGTCCAATTTTAGTATAGTGTGTTAACCCTACAGAAGTCATACAAGGTCAACTGCTTGCACGACATCTCAGATGCCACTTTTTATTCCAAAATGAAATTCTTGGCATTGCATCAAAAACTGCAATTACGACATATCGTTGACATTTCGTCTTTTTTCTGTCAGTGTAAAATACTTGGAGATTGACAACAAATGTGTTTTTTTATGCTTATTTTATTATAATTTGATCTGATAAAGCAATAAAATAAACATATCAAATTTCACTTTGCTGTAAAATATCTCGTGTGATGGATTGACATTGTTTGTAATTGGAGAGGGATAGGTTGTCTTTTAAGGTTAGGGTAGTAAAAAAATTTTTATTCTACAGTATAGCCACAACAGACCTCTATTGTTAATGTCAGCAAATTACTAATTGTTTTATCACCCTGTAAACAAAAGTTCCCTTTCAACTTGTAAGTGGGTCAAATGACAATGTTGTTTTATTGTTCTTTGAAGAATGTTGTCTCTAACATTTAACAACCAGTTTTGTCGGATCTGATTACTTTAACTTAATTTATATATATATTTTATGTGATATACTTGTGTGGTTATCAAATTCGATTTATCTCAATTCGAAAATTGATATCACTCAAAATATTACAGAAAGTATGAAAATTTTTTGCTTAGTTTTTAGCCAGGAACATTTTCTATAAATGAAATGGAGCAATATCAAAGAAATAATGTGTGGACCATCAAAAATTAGGCAATTTACCACACAACGTTGACTGTAAATTGTTAGCTTTATATCTTAAAACATTATGAGAATTTTATTAAATAAATGCATTTGTTACAATGCTTGAATAACAACGTTACAAAATGAAAAAGTTTGCATTATCAAAATTATTTTTATATTAAAATTTTATCATGCAGAATTACGAGCAACGATGTGATGTGTAACATGTTGTATTATTACAAGCAAATGCAACACTCTGTTTGAAATGAATTGGAATTGTTTTGTTGTATGGAGATGAAGAAATAGAAGAGAATGATATTTCTTTGAGGCTAAATTTATTTTAAACTGAAGTTGTGTCAGATTGTGCTCATTCCAAGTGATGCTCACAAGAGTTATGCTCATAATTTTTCTGTAGTGTTAATATATGGGAAAAGCTGCACAGAGTCTTGGTTGTCAGCGTTTGTTTTCTTAAAAAGTATTTGTGCACTGATAGTGTACAGTGCAATGTACAGTTTTTTCATTGCAAATATTCTTTTTTACTTCTCCTTTTTAACATTTTCATATATCTGATTTATATAAGAATATTAGATTATAAAGATAGTGTATAAAGAAATCTAATACTTTTGGAAATGGCATAGTGTCAAACTGGGTTGCATTTGATCTAGTGGGTATGTATTGGAGTGAGTTTAGCAGATCTTATTCCACTATAGGTGGATGGTGTGAACATCACTGACTCAGTTGCACAACTGCAATCTATATATTAAATGAAAGGGGTTTGTTTAGCTGACTTTGAATAAACGTTGGGGGTAAAAATATGGTTCAGGTATCAAATTAAAGCTCTTATCCTGTACATGATGCTACCAAAGGAGAAAAGAATAAGGTGCAGTGGTTTGGGTGTGGTAAGGGTACAATTTCAAGTCTGAGACAAGCATGTCAGGGTCCCACTCACCTGTTAACTTTACCTCAAGCAATTTTTTGTGTGTTTTGTAGTTTCATTACTGTAAATACTAAGTACAGTTTAGTTACTAAGTAACTAAACTGTACTTGTTTTTTTATCATTTTGTCTCGACTGAACCTCACTGATTCCCTGCTCCCTCAAAAGCCCGAACAGCACCAGATACATACAGGGCTAGTTAGACAATAAATTAGAATTTACTGATATGCTTTCTTGTATAATGATATTAATGAAATGTTGATTTATATTAATTAATGTGGGATTTTGTGAGGATTATCAAATCATTTAGATATGTAAGGATGTGTAGTGTGTTCATTTACAATACTGTAGATCTGTCATACAGTCATAATATATTCACGTGTATGTGCATACAAGCTTTTCTTCCACCCAGGTTTTTTCTATGACAGACTTTCTCTTAAATTTGATTTGTTTTCTTTACAAACTGATTGTTGATTATATAAAGTATAAAAAAATGCAGAATGAATATAAAATGAAAATAAAAAATAAGAAAAACCAACGTAACATATCACTTGATATTAATAAGAAGTTTAAAGCAATTAATATGAAAATAAGGTTAAGGAGAGAAGACACGCACAAAAATATGCACATAATCAACTATCAGTGTTCAATGCTTTTATCCACGCGACTGCTGATAAATTAATGAAGAAAGAGAAAAATCACATGATCAAGGTTTATTTTCGAAACACGAAAAACTAGCCTTGAATTAATCAAATTTATATTTAAAAATTTGAATTAACTGTGTGCTTTTAACATAGTTTAAATACAGTGAAGTTCTGTTAACATGGAATCATGGGGATTATACTGTGTTAGATTATCAAATATGCTGCCTCATTGGAAAGAGTGTTTATGGGTTTTTTGATCCACAGACACAATTTTTTCATATACTTTGCATGTAAAACTGTACAAATGATAAATACACCTTTTATGATTGTTTAACACTCTATTTCAATTTTTCCAGGCTATTCCTATTCTTATTTGGCTTGAAACAAGAATAATATTTTTACTTTGTGTTTTGTCACTTGTATTCTTTATAAATACAGATGTACTCTGATTATCAAAGTACACAAAAAGTAATGTATTGTAGTTGTTTCTATGATAATTATTGATTCCAAATGTGCTAAACATTTCTGCTTCTCATGTCAAATTTGTGCACTTTGTGGATTATAATCATCCAAAAAGTCTTTAGAAAGATACACACGAGCTTACTAGTTTTAACTAGCACATTGCCCTGTTGTCTTGGTCTTCCTCTGTTTACATGATAGTTATATCAGAAGTTTTTAATGATGATCATAAAGAACAATGCACCGAGAACCCCTAATCACAATCTCGACGTGTCAGCTTATTGGTTTGCCAGTATATCGGATGCTGGATGAACAGAATTTCACTATATAAATTTAAAGTAGAATACTAGTGAGTTTCAACTGTACAGTAATTCAAAATTAATTTTTCAGATATAATGTTATCTTGGTTTCAAAAACTGACTTAGGTTTAATTGAAACTAGAAACTACTAATTTAGTTTAAATTAAGTGCCTAATTAAGACAAATTTCTTAAAAAATATTATAAAATATTAATAAATTATTAATGTTCAATCTTATAATAAAGAAATTTTAATTTCTTACAGTATTTATATGGCATCAGGAACATACCGACGTAGAGGACACAGAAACGGCTCCTCGCACAAAAAATTTAATTGCAATGGCGACGCAAAGAATAACAACGACAAAAATTGTCAATTTTATTCCACCGACCATCTCAAGAAGATGCTGGGAAATCTAAATAGTCTCAGAAATCAGGTTAAGTTTTGTGATGTCGAACTATTGGTGGAAAACGAAGTCTTCCACTGTCACAGGGCAGTCATGGCCGCTAGTAGTCCTTATTTCGAGGCGATGTTCGGAAGCGAGCTGGCAGAAAAGCAGCAGTCGAAGGTCAAAATTTGTGGGATAGCACCTTGGGTTTTTAATCTTCTGATTGGATTTATATATTCAGGTAATGTTTTAATCGCACATTGAAACAAAGCTCTGTGTATGTGCGACACCTCTAGAAGCTCTGTTTTTGGGAAGTGCAGGCAGAGTTTTTGCTGCACTTCCCAAAGTGTTATGAAATCCAGGTTGCATATAATATGCGTTAATCACAAGTTTGAATATCACTATTTGTCAGTTTTTCTATCCAAGTTGGTGGGTGTATTCTGCTCATTTATTCTAGATAATTATCCAACGTCGAATGTTATTTAGATGTGAATTGTCTATCTTTATTGAAATTAATTAGTGTTTAATTCACTCAACTTATAAAAAGCCTTGTTACATCACAGAATAGATTTTGAAAATTAATACGCTAAACCGTGTGGAAAATTTAATAAGGTATTTGCTACAGTTTCTAGAAAAAATGAAATTTCAAGTTAAGAAAAATGCTCTCTTAAAATTTGTGTAATCGTGGTGTCAACTTTAGAACTCATTATCTAATTGGAAAAAGAGAACTACAGTAGAATGTTGTTTTAATGGATTGCTCGGGATGCTGAAAATCATTGTTGTTCCAAAAATCTGTTATATTGCAAACAACAGATTTCTTCTACTCCCAGGAAATTATCCGTTATTCAAAAAAATTTCCTTCTTTAAATCCCTATATAAAAAAACACCTGTACTTGAAATTATTCAGTGTCTTGAGATTTCTATCCTTTATTTTATATAAACACACAAGGTGCAAATTAGATTCTGAAGGAATTCAATCTTAAGTTTATCTCAAGCATCTGAAATTGCTGCCTTCAAATCACGAATTGTGGAAAACTGCTTTCCATTGGCATAAACTGTACGAACCATCATTCCCCAAAGATTTTCCATCGGATTCAGGTTAGGGCTTCTAGCAGGCCACGTCATCAGATTAATATTTTTACGTTTAAACCACATTTTTGTTGATTTAGAGGCATGCGCAGGGGCATCGTCTTGTCGAAAGATCCAATTTGGTCCAGCTTCCAATAAATGATTTTCAAGCATGCCTTGATACGTCTCTCAATTCATTCTTTGAGTTATAAATGCTAAATCTGTGGTTCTGTTGAATCCAAATGCACCCCACACCATTATTGATCCCCCACCCATTTGGCATTTTGAAAATATTTGTTTTTCGGTTCTTAAATAGTGCCAATAATACTTCCAACCGTCTGGACCATCTAAGTTGAATTTTTTTTTTATCACTGAACAAAACTTCAATCCATTCTTTGGACCATGTCATGTGCTTTTGTGCCCAATCAAGTCTGTCACTTTTGTGCTTTAATGAAAGTGGTGGCATTACAGCTTTTTTTTTTCTGAATTTTAACATTGAAGATTTATTTAAAACTCTCTACATTGTTGTGCTACTACAAGGCAAGTCTAGTTCTTGTTTTATTTTTCTTACTGATGTTTGTTTTGTGGAGCAAACCTTGATGATTTGTCTACAATCTCGAGGTGTAAGCTTGGGTTTTGGACCAGTCTTGAATTTTGGTGCATTCTTGCCATGTCTTTTTGATAAATAATCACCAACAGTTGATTTTGGATGATTTATATATGCTGCAATTTCTCTTATTGACTTGCCTTGTGATTTATAGGCATCAATCTGTCCTTTGTCATAATCAAATAAATTCTTTGTTCTTCCCATTTTAGAACTTTGAACAACATAAAGAATTTGTATTACAATTAGATATGTAAGCTAATTTGCATATTTCAATTGCTTGAAATTAAACAATATTCTGTTTGTCATGAAATGAGTGCCTGTCTGGATAAATATGTAACAGTTTTTTTGTACAAAATTTTTAAAAATATTATTTTCAGTGACAAACTGTTAATGTTCGATTAAAATTCTTATTTTACAGTGTGGAAACATGTAAATCCATGTTATTTTTAATAAAACATTTGTCACTTAATGCAGCAAATTTGGGTTTCACTTTAATTTTTTCGTGTCTGTATAAATTTGAAATGCACCTTATATTACAAGATCGTACATTATGCTGTAACAAAGCTGACGGAAACTGTATAAGCCAAAAAGTGACAAAATACATACGATAATTAGCACTTCACAATATGTTAAAAAACTTGTTTATCTTGGTTTACTTTGATGATGCTCTAATGCTCATTGAGTATAACAAGCACTTGATATTAGCAATGTTACATACAGCCTGATCATTTATATTAAAACTCATTAGGAAGGTCTTCACAACTTGGAAACTCTATGGCCTCACTAAATTTTGGCACTACACTCGGGCAATATTGCCGAACGCGTGTTTGCAACAAAGGTGTGGCACACACCCTGCATATCTGGAAGTGTTAAGCCAGAAATAGTTTTCCTCCATTAATCAGCGTGCTAAAGGAGGGCACTAATGCATGGTTGCAACGTTAGCATTGAGAATTGTGATGATTATCTGCTTAGTTTGCACAGCGTGCAATGTATGTTTTTGAATTCAGTATCCAGAAACATCCAATTATTAATTAAAGGTTGGAAAAAATATGTTTATCAAAGATGGAGGTAGAAAAAAATCTGTTATTCCAAGTTACAGTTCCGCTAAAGAGAGATCAGATTACATTGATTTGGTGGGACCTGGAGAAAAAATTTGTTATTCCAAAAAATCCATTGTTCATGATCCATTAAAACAAGATTCTATTGTATTTAAGTTTTCTTGTATATTTTTTTCTTTGTAGTCTTAGGCTTTATCTAGCATCTGTACATTAAGTGGCCCATGGCCAAACATTATAAGACCATGCAACCATATTATAAGCAAAATTATAATATAACAAAGAATGGTTGTTAAAAAATGAAATAAAATGCAGTTATTACTAATTTTAAACCTCATAAATTAGCAAATTACATATGTTTTCTTAATTAAAAATTTAAATGATATAAAATGTATAGTTACAGTTCATAACTGTTTTTTTTTTTCTCTTCAAGACGTTGAGGCATTCTTAGCAAAAAATATATTACTGGACTATATTATTGCTGAACTTAGTTATTAAATATTGATTTTGATTAAAAGTATTGACATATAATTTAAAAAAAATGTGTTAGGACTATGGATAAGTTTAGGAACTTTCTGACAAAATATTAATTTAATGATCTTTATTTCACTGTTTAACTTGACATTTTAATCTCTAATTACAGCAGGTACATAAAAATAAATCCTTATCTTTTAATGTTAAATTAACATATACTTCATGGATCCACATTTGATAAATACAGTTAGTAGTGCTGTTAAAGATGATGTAGAGTACAGGATTGAGATTAATAATAATAAAAGAGTATACATTAATGTAGCTCTTTACCAATAGTCATCCATTACTGGGTGAAATATTTGTCCATTATGTGGTTTACAAAATGGCATTGCCCATATAAAACTGATTTCTGACAACCAAAGGCATTAGTTCTAGTGAGATCATTCATTGCCGGATGTGTGCGTAATATGGAGAGTTTTGAATGTTACTACAAAAACTTGAGTTCTCAAAAATGTCGGTGCAGCCCTTGAGTTTTTGAACTCGTAAGCTTTTTGAGGTGGCATGCACAACTCTGTATTGTGCATACAACTTGTGATGGATCTTTCTAACCTCTAAATGTAATGCTTTTAACTGTAAAAACTGAATAACCGCTTTCTGTTCAATTGTAGTACAGTTTAATACGGTAATGCCACTCCTTAAACTGCATAGTAGATGCAAATGCTATCTGGAAGGGATGAATAGTGTTACAGGGCTGCATTACTGTATAATATGTGAATATTATTAGTTTCGATCTCGTGTGCTGTGTTATTTTTACTTAGCGGCACTACTAACCTTACTTATCGAATATGGCATGGATAAAATAAAGTCATCAAAAAGTATTAATTTAATAATTTAAATATTTATAATGTTTGTTTAATTATTCAACTTTATTTGTATACAACAGGGGAAGTAAAAATAACACAGGAAAATGTTCAAGAGTTATTAGCTGCCTCAAATATGTTACAACTGTCTGAAATTATTTCAGCTTGTTGCGATTTTTTAAGAAAAGAACTACATCCTACAAATAGTATTGGTAGGTATGACAAATTTTTATTAAGTTTAAGTAATAAATATTTTTAATGTTTTCTAAGAAAAACCTACTAATATGTACAGAATGAAATTTTTGTAAAATTATATAAACACACTGATTACTAATTAAAAGAAACTTTTACAAACAAATATACATTATCTGATAAGAATACACAAGTGTCTATTAATGCTCATTTTTAGTTTGATGTCCTATTGCTCAGCTCTGTTGCAAAGTACACTTATAAACACACGTACAGAAAGAACAATTCAAAATGGTATATAAACATAAATAAAGTAATTAGTTGACTTTAATATTAGCTCCATAAATAACTGAAATGATATCATACCAATATTCAATCTGCTGCCACATGTTAGAGCATTTCATGATCAATTTTAGTTAACTTTTTTATCCATTTATTCAACTTATTTTCCATTAATATTGGCATCAGGTGCACAAATAATATTTTTGTATGTTAAGTTTCCGGCAAAGTGATTAAATTTTTGTGGGCTATGCTTAATTGTTCTGGTACTTTCGTATTTACGCATACAGCTTGTGAAATAAACTTTCATATCAGACATAAATTGATGGTTGATTGGAGCTATTAAAATTCACTGTACTATAGCAAATTTTTCTCACGTGAAACTAATAAGACGCAATAATACGCATAAAATAAGACGCAAAACATTTTGTCTGACTCTGTCATGTTTAAATATCAATGAATGCTGCACTACTTGCTGGCGTATGTTAGTCTTAGTTTTGTGATTTTGATTTACGTGAAAATTTCGCAGAATTAATCTACCTTGTAAATCAAGGTAGTTTAACAACTATTCATATATGTTTTGGTGCTCAAATAACCAGACATTTTCTCAAAAAATAAGAATAAATTACCCTTTAAGTTTTCTGCTTTTTATCTATGATGCAGGTTGTTGTTGCTATAATTTAGATAAGCTTAATAATATCTAATAACCTAAAGCCATATGTTAATTAAATGAAAAAAAAAAAAAATGTCTTTTTAATGAATTATAGGTATCCCTTGTATAACACAGAAGTTAAGTGCTGAAATGTTATGTTAATCTGTTATGCGAATCTGTGTTATACGAAACAAAGGATTAATACAAAACATGGTGTTAGGTTCCAAAAGTTAATAAAAATTCTTTATGTATAACAAAATAAAAATGTATTAATTGAAAATTTGTTGTAATGGGTTTTGTTTGAGTGATTTCTTTTTGTTTTGCAGAATTTATATTCAAATATTGAATTGTTTGAGTTGGGAACAGTTCAATTACTGAGATAGCAATATATTTTATTTGTCATTTTTATGAATGATTACTTATTTGTGGTTAAAAAAGTTTAATAACATCTGAAAATGTTCAATCTTTGTATTTAGTAAAGTTTATGTAATCTATAAAACCAAAAGATGGTGACAGTCTTAAATGCTAGTGTCTGAAAGCAATACCGACGATAACTGGTTGGTAGGAAAGCTAGGATAAGGAAGAAGAAAATTGCACCATTAGTTTTCATTAAAGTAAACCTGACAAAATGCACAAAAATTGAAAATTTCGATATTCTAAAATCAGTGGGCAAATTTGAGATAATGTGCACGCTTGCTTGAATAAAAAATATCGAATAAAGGAATCGAAATTTTGAACGGGGATTCCCAAAATTCTTGAACCGTGTTAGAGTGAAACCGGAATCTGCGTTATATTGGGATTTCCCCAATCTTCCAACAGTGTTAGAGTGAAACTGTGTTGTAGAGAGATACCAGTACTTCTATCTGCAGTTAATACCTAGTACATGTTGAGAGACTTTCCACTTAGGTAGACAAAACAAAATATGATTAACATTTTGTTACGTGGAGTTTTGGATACATTGTTTTAACACATTGCGTGTTGCAATATGTTAGATGAAATCAATATACTGTATATAACATATTGGCCCAAATATTAAGTGATGTTTTTCTTAGTTTTGAAGTGTCAAAAATTGCTCTCAACTTATATTTGAGTCTAATTAACATTTTCTTCATTTTCAATAACTATTTAAAATACACATTATATAGAATTAAACATACTAAAATTGATGCATCAATTGTTTAATGCAGGGGTGGCCACATGTGGTGCATTGGACGATTACAAGTGGCGCTTCAGTTAGTTCTGAGCAAAAATATGATCAAAAATTGCACCCTGGCAATGTGACGACGTCACAATAAATAAATGCTTGGATGTTTTTATTTTATTTGATAGAATCAGTCATATTTTGATAACTTTTTTATTTTACTCCAAAGAATTTCTGCTAATCAAGAAATTGTAAAATGTTGGGGGGGAAGCTTGCTGAATTTATTCTGTTGTGAAGTGCAAATTTCTACCGTGTGTGTAATTTTATGAATTCAATACGATTATATTATTGACTTATAAAAGAGCTTTGTAAAATATGATTTAGACAGTTATAAAAAAAGTCAGACAAGCAAAAACTGAAGTTCTAGTTTTGTTTTTATGATCATAAAGCTGCAAGTACATACGATGTATGCAAGGAAGCCTACTTCTGGTGTGGTGTACATGTTGCTCAGTCTTCTACTTAGTGCATAGGAAATTGTCTTGATTTTGTTCTGTAACATATTAATTTCATTTTTATTGATATGAACAAAAAAGAATCACTCATAATACAAATGTCCAATGCATATATTTCTTTCTTCGAAATATAAACCCTTTGAGTACAATTTTCTGATTAACGTGGTATAATTTAAATGTGATTTTGTTAAACTGACTAGAAAACAAGTAAAAATTCATTTATGCCAATTGATTTCCAGATATTTGTAAATACAAATTAAAAAAAATTTTACTTATAAGTAAAATAATTTCGAAAAGAAAGTAATTGTGAATATGACTAATTTCATCCAGTCCCCAAAGGAAAAAAAAAGGCTGACACCTTAACCACTTGGCCATTCAACCGTCCAATCTGTAGATTGAAAACTTTTGGTCTAATCTAACACACTTAGACTATAATATTTATTAGAGATTCATCTCACATTTATAATGGAATTGACACACCATAGTCCACAATTGTAGAGGAAGAAATAGCTGGCTCTTTATTACACATGAAAAATAATATATGGAATGTATTTTATATAATATAATTTATTTTAGAACAGAATGTGTGCATAGATCAGTCTTTGTAACTCCAAGAATCATTCTTAACAGTCAAAATGAAAATGTTATATATAATAATGCAGAGATGTCCTAATTTTTGTATTTGCTTTGTGTTTGTGAAGTGATAGAAAATTTGGTACATAGATAGATACTTGGTGCCATGAGAGATTATTTAGTCAAAGAAAACGAAAATAAAAATTAACTTCTGGAATTATACACTTTTGCCTGGAGTATTTAAAACATGAGGTAAATAATGGAAGGTGTGACCAACTATGACAGCCATACGGCACTCACTCTGAGCCTTCACGATGATTATGAAATTCTGGAGAAGACTTTTGGATGATAAACCCAACTCCTTCACAAGAGTAGATTTTAGTTTATGCTGTATCCTGGGTAGGGTTGATGATTGTTCGGAATTTTCTGTGTGCCATTTCAGTTATTTTTTAATTGTTTGGAAATAACATGAAAAATTGTTCCTTTCTCATGGAATGTTGGCACCCCTAATCATAAACTGAATTATTTTAATTTTTATCATCATCATTTTTAATAGTTTCAATGCCTTTTTTGTTTTTCCACCCTGTAGGTACTGAGAATGTGTTTTAATCATATCCGTATTGGGTTTATCCATACCCACAATGGGAATGACAGGGTAGTGAGGGATGGGGTGCAATGTATCCAGAACAGATTGTATGTGAAAAAGTTTCTGGAGTTGCTTGCCTACATCTGATTCTGGGTTCCAGGGTGGTAGGCTAGTGTTTTAACTACTTCAATCATGGCTGGCTTATCACCCATAAAAATGAACTTGCATTGATGGCTCCCTGAAAAAGCCTCACATACAGTTGAAAAATCTCATTTCTAACACTGATTGGTCAGTCTTCTCCTTGAAGATGTGCAGTGGCATGGGCCCATTAAAACATGATGTCTCCATTAAAGCAGTCATTTTTCTCTGTACTCTCCAGTTAACATGTCAAGAATCAGTTTGTAAACTGTGTCTTTATTCATCAGAGAATATAACAAGAATTCACCGGTCATATGCCCAGAGATGATGAGCATGGCATCAGGAAAAATGGACTCCCTGTGGGAAAGGCTGAGGGGCACATACAGTCTCATGCTGACTCTTCTCTGCCAGACGTGTATATGCAGTTTGCCTCAATACTGACACCCTAGTGTTGGCAGCAAGCTTACGAGAGTTGCCGACTTTCATCTCTCTACGGTGCCAAATAGTTAAACTATGGAACGCTCTATGGCAGTCTTTATGAAGTGCTGTTGATTTTGGCGTATCTTGGCCTGTTCTTCTGGTGATAGTTCGTTTCTTACAATTGTTTCTACAGCATACACATGACTTTCACAGACACCTGTAGCTGCCACCTGTTCAGGCCACCTCTTCTTGGTACTGGCATGCTTCGAATCTACTAAGTGTCCTCCATCATAATGTATTATTGATGATGCATTGTCTTTTGATCAAAGTTTGATCGACCAACCCACAATTACTATTCAAAAATAGTTAAATCACAGTCTCACAGAACTTAGCCTTTTCTCTTTCCTTCATAATTTTCACATTTCCTCAGTTTTCACTTCTAGTTAATATAAGAATTCAATTTGTAATGCAAAATTACATAAATGTTAGTTTTTTTAGAATTTTTACTAGTAGCTATTTCTATTTATTGAACTAAATGTGTTTCTTGCCTTAATTTTGGACACTTCTTAGTTTTTAATTTCCATTTGGAATTTGCCTTAATGTTCATATACTATGGCTTTAAGAATAAAAATGTATATTATTGTAGTTGCATTTTAATATGAACGACTTGTCTCGTGTTGAACTTAAATGATAAAAGCTAACAGAAACAAACCATTTTGTAACACGTGTTATTATTTTAAACTGTCTTTTATGAATTACAGTGTAAGAAAAGTAGTACATACATTCATTTAAATTTGTCCCGGATAATGCAGAACTTTGATTAATCGGGCTTGGATAGTTGGAGTTCTGTCATACTTAAAAATTTATTTGTTGTAGTGTGTATATTTTGTAGCAAATATATGGTTTGGTTCATTTTAATCAGTCCATTGGAATAATTCAAAATACATATCCTGCAAAATTTCATTAAAATAAAACTGTTAGAATTTAAGGGGGGCACAAGCTATCATTATTGTTTTGACTTAGATGCCATTACAGTTGTATTTTTTATTTTATTTTATGTAGTTAGGTAGACATTTTTTCTGTGTATGTGTATACAGTAATACCTCGACTTACGCAAACCCGGAGTTACGCGATTTTCAAATCTCGTCGATTCGTCTTTTGTTTGAGCGCCACACAACTATTGATTACTCACATCCCCCCACATCATTGTTCAGCTTACATGTTCGGACGTGTCGCAAGGAATTGACACATAGCTACAATTTATTTTGTGTTATTTATTTCTGTGTTTGTTATATCTATGGAGACTTGAGAGACTGTATGTAGTGATTTCTTGTAACCGTGAATGAATCAAAAGACGTGATAAGATTAACGAGAACATTTGTTAGCTTACATACATCCTACTTGGATTTTACACAAATTGCAAAATTATACCCCGACTTATGCGGTTATCACTCGGTCCCACCTATTGCGTAAGTTTGGGGTATTACTGTATATCAGGGCTGTGGAGTCGGAGTCGTGGAGTTCTGGTGTTTTAGCTGGAGTCGGAGTCGGATGGTAAGGAAAAGTCGGAGTCGGTAGATTTTTACGCGACTCCACAGCCCTGCTATATATATATCATTTACTTTGAAATTTACAAATTTAAGAAAGCATTTTCTAATGAAATTTTTTTTAATCTCTAGGCATCTATAGATTTGCTGAACTGCATGCTTGTACTAATCTACGATTAGAGTCGAAACGTTTTATAGAAAGACACTTCACCGAAGTCATCCTCGAGGATGAATTTTATGACATACCTAAAGATACTTTGAAGGGTTTTTTAAAGAGCGAAGGCTTGAGTATCGATAACGAATATCAAGTGTTCCGTGCCACGATGAACTGGATATTGCACGACGTCACGCAGAGACGGATACACATTTTTGAACTATTGGAATCCATTAGACTGCCAGTAATCTCCCAAAAGCAGTTGGATGCTTACGTGAAAGAATGTCCAGATTTAAGTCTTAAAGTAGCCTTGATGAAATTGTTGCAGGATCATAAAAATGAGATGCGTGTCTTGCAGCTGGAGTGGCGACTGGGTAACATTTACGACGTGAGAACGCAGCCTCGCATGTGTGCCAGGAAGAGCGTGTTCGTCATAGGGGGTTATAATCGTAGCATAGGAAGAAGATGGACAGAGAGTAAAACTCTAGTGACCGTGGAGAGATTAGATACCTATAAACGGGTATGGAAGACGTTACAACACATGAAATTTTCTAGGAGTGGTCATGGTGTTGTTGTTTTAAATAGTCTCATATATGTGGTGGGAGGAGAAAGTGACTGTATGATACTTGATCACGGAGAAGTATATGATCCCATTTCTAATGAATGGAGCATGATTAGTTCGATGAATCAACCGAGATGTGTATTAGGAGCCTGTGCCGTCGACGGATACATGTTCGTTTTTGGTGGATGGGTCGGAGCAGAGATAGGAAACACGATAGAAAGATATGATCCCATGGAAAACAAGTGGTTTACTGTCAACGAAAGAATGACAACGGCTCGTTACGCTATGGGCGTTATTTCTTATCAAGGTAATTATAAACTTTTTTCTATTCAGAATTTTTTTACATTTTTAATCTTCATAAACTTACAATTTTGTTTAATATGAAATGTTTCAGACACTTCTGAAATGGTTTATTAACAAGTATTTAGATATTTAATTTACAGAAATAAACTCTAATAGTAAGGTAAACGCACCGGTAGTGGACACTTTGAACTTCAAATATGATTCTGTCTACTGAATGATTTGTATGTTTGAACAGTGAAGCCATCTACAACCTTATTACTCTTATTTGAAGTTCAAAGTGTCTGCTACTAATGCAGTGCCCACTATTGGTGTGTTTACCTTACACTTTGAAATTTAAATTCTGTTGCGTAAATTGGACCATTTATTAATAGGTAGAAACTTTAACATGTCTATCAATAAATGGTGTACCATAAATTATACTTTGACTAATTAGGTATACATGATTAGGGAAAGGAGAAAGGCCAAACTCATTGGTATATAGCCTTAAAAAAAAGGAGGGGTTTGCATAGAAGGAGAGAGGAAGGGATAGAAAGGGAAAGAGAAGAGGGATCTATGAGCGTCCATCTGAAATCAATTATTATCAATTATTTACATAATGTGACTATTATCCTTGATGATTTTCTGCAATTTGCTGCGATGCTGGGTGAATTTTGTGCAAGTGAAGATGATATGACTGGGGTCTTTTTCTTCATTTGATTCACAGTTACACAAACCGTTAGTTTTTTCAGAAATCTTCTTAGATAGGCATTGCACTTGGGTTAGTGCATGCAAAGTGCTGAAGTGTGCCATATGCTCCCTGCAACTGATGTTAGGCAGGAAGGTATGAGTGAGTCTACCTGTATGGCTGCTGTCCCATTCTCTCTGCCAGCAGGAGGTGATGATTGGATTAAGTTCACTGTGGACCCAAGGTTTAGGAACTGGGAAGTAACAATAAGTGTTTGCAAGGGATGAGGCCTTCTTGATCAGTATGTTGGCGTTCTCATTCCCAAAGACATTTGAGCTGCCTTGACCCAATGGAAGTTGAGCCTCACAGTAGCTTGAAGTGTATTAATTGATTCTAAGCTGTTTGCTATTACTGGTAGATTGTGATTCTAATTTTGAAGTTGACAAAGAGCTGTACGGCTGTCACTGAGAATGAGGTTTTACATTTGGTAATTTTATATACAAATTGCTGTAGTGTATGGAGAATGGTTATATTTTCTAAATATTTTAAATTATTTATTTAATTGTAATTATTAGATTCTATACTAGATGGTAACTTAATTACTTACCTTTATTCCAAATTGTATAGCAATTGCTTAATGAATTAGCCAAAATGTAACACTATGATAAATTCTAAAGGAAGTAATTTTCATATGTCAGTTGATCCATTAACCAAGTGGACTTTACCACTGAACACAGGTTATAGTTGGTCGTAGGTTTGTGCCTGACCAACAAGCTAATTGTGTGGAGTTTTCTTCTCTGTCTGATACCTAAATAGGGACCAGTTTCTCATAACATACTTCCTGGTAGGCATCCCTTTTGGCAGTTTGCCCTATGTATTGTGTTGAGTTATAGAGAATTGGATTCATTGTATTACATCTTTTGTCATCAACAAATCAGGTAGAATACGAAACCGTTGTGTGTTATGACTATTGACTTCATCTGCCGTAATGTTGAAATAGCCATATTTGTTTATTTTTGCAACAAGTTCTTTTCTTAATATAATATTTGCTGTTTAATCCAACTTCATTCTGAATAGTGGGAGATGTGTGTTCTATTTCTTTGTTATAGTGTGTGAGATGTCTGAACAGTGCAGGCTCACTTTTTACCATTAAATTTAGCTGAACAGTGGAGTTTCTAGGATTTGCTTTTCTATATCTCGCCAGAACACATTGTGTTTTTGTGTGATCCCTGAATACAGTACATTGCTGAACACAAAACAAGACTGCGTCCACTTGCACTATTTTTCCTATAGTGAAAAAAACAAAAAAACAGTGTTTAAATCTTAGTAGTTCTTACCTTTACTTCTTATATAGTCCCATACAGATAGACACATGCAAAGATCTGTGGCTACCAAGGTTTGTCTGATCCCCACTGAGTCAAAGGCTTGTTGGGTTCATACCCAGCTAACATGCCACAGTAGGATTAGTGCAGGTAGTAAATGAATTCTAGGAAGCTTATTGGATCTTGGACATCTCTGCTCTCAATACTCATTCCTTAATCACAGCAAATGTGGATTCGTTTACTGCTGTCCTCACCCTGTGGCTCTGACCGAGAATTATTGCACACGGTATTGCATTCTTTCTATGGTGCATGTGCTATGGCAGAAATGGAGTCTTGTGTCTCAAGCCCAAATTTTTAGTTACTATTAATGTAGGGAAGTTGTTTTCTTTTGGTGACCTTCCAGCAAAGAAAATGGTTGGCTATCCAGGCCAACCACTCCCTGAGAATTAAGGGCTGCCTGTATTGTTCTACACTGCAACAATAAACATGAGATTCATCATAATTCTCGTGTCTTATATTTTATTATTTACTTACGGGGATATTTTATTTTCCTCACAAATGAACTTTAGAGAAAGTGTGAAATCTTTTAAGATGTTTCATATAAAAATAATAACAAAGACTAATTTTCTTTCAAGTTAGTTAAGGAAAATTTAAAGGTTTGTATTATTGAGAAATGGCAAGAATTGCAGTTTTAAATGAGGAATTTGGAAATTCTAGATGACCAAAAAAGTTAAAAGAACCATATTTCTAATTGTGACTCCTGGCAAGATATTCTCTTCCAAAGTTTTTGTGCTGACGGTTGCTTGTTAAGCATGTGATAAACTTAGTATGACCCTGATTGTAACTCAGAAGTAGTTGGTGCAATGGCGTTTCTTGTGTTTTATGAGCTTTAGGTCATCTGTAGTAAAGTGGAAAATGGTTGTATTGTTTTGAAAAATGGTTCTGGATTTGTTTAGTTCTAAATTTTATCCATTTTTGAGGATCTTTGAAATTTCACATAGGTTGATTTCGGTAGGGCTATATCTAGCAAAGGGTCATTTGTAGACACTTAGTTTTTTTTTTTTACTTTTTTACCCCCATGGGCGCACGATCTACAGTTCTGATAAGGTACCAACCATTCAGAGATATATTTGTATCAAGAAATTTCATCTGTGATTTTCACTTTTTACATTATATACTGGAAAAATGTTGCAATTTTAACTTAATAACTCATCACAGTCAAAATTGTTGTTCATTATCAGAAACTTTTTAGTTATGTTAGGATAAAAGAACTGAATTCTTAATAAAACAATGAACAAAATAACCTCCAAGTCCATGCAAACATTTTTACCCTCTTTACTGGCCATCATCAGATATTTTAGAACAAGTGATGCAAAATTCCAAACTGACGGAATAGATCTGAGAACTCCAAAACTCAAAATACAATTTAAATGTTCAAACTAAATGACAAAAAACGATGGTCGGTAGAAGGCAGAAAACATTCAGATGGAATAAATTAGTTGCTGGACTTGGTTATTTTGCGTGTTGTTTATCTAGATAATTAAGTGACAGACTACAATGCTTTTTATCAAAGTATGACCCCTGTTAGAGAATAATTTTCCTGCCAATAAAGAAATTGCCAGAGAGAACAGCAATTTCAGTTTGTAAATTTTCATATTTACTCAAGCGTGAATAGGATGCAGTCCAGTTTTCACAGAATCTCTACTACACAGTCTCGATGAAGATAATCTTTGGTCTAATAAAGAAATTATCTTCATTTTCTGCATTCAGTTTGTGTCATTAAAACTCGCAATTTGTTTGTAATGAATGTAATGTTTCCTCTCTTAAATGAAGAGAGTGTTTACTCAACTAGCAGGTATTATGGCAGCTCTTTTGAAATCTACTTGTTTAGATCTTGGATTTACAAGAATAGCAACACTATAAATACAGTTTTAATTCTATCAATACTATTTTTTTGTAGATTTTTGTCCGATGGCAATAATTATGATTAATTATTTGAAGACATAGTCCTTCCCAAAAAAAAGGAACCACTATTTATTAGCTTTGTGTTCCAGACAATACATTCTTGGTGACTGGCCTTCCATTTGGAACACAAAGCTAATAAATAGTGGTTCCTTTTATTTGGAAAGGACTGTCTTCAAATAATTAATCTATCAATACTAGTTTAAATGAATGTTACAGTGTGCAAGTTTTAGTAATTTCTTTCTAGATTCTTGAACTCGAATACTACTTGCAATTACTATATTAAGAGTCTGATGCTAATTGTGCTTGCAAAATTCTATATCGGTTATCTTTACAATATTTGCAGTATCATCAGTCATAGGTGCAATAAGTTTGGTGTCGTCTGTTCTGGAATTCTAACAGTCTTTCGCGTTCTTGACATAAAAAGTCAGTTAACTAGGTTGTGGAAATGTAATTTCTAAAGTATAAGACTGGTTTATAATAGTTATATGTAAATAATTATTTATGGAGTCTGAAGAATTTTCCTCCGACTGCAGACCGTTGAACAAAGTGAAGACTTTTCCACCGAAAAATGTATCTGCCTCGGAAGTGAATTTTCTGCATTTTGTTAGATGTGGAACTTCATAATGCGGACAAATCATTTTTGTTGGTCTTTTGAATTCTTTCCCCCACCAAACGATAGATCAATTGTCGCAAATAAGTCAAAACATAATAGCTTATGATATCCAGATACAGTGCTAAGATTGCAGAAGTTTTGTCAGTGATTATTCTAGATACTACTTAATAAAATAAATCTGTCAATGTAGAATAACAATTGTCATGTAAAAATTAGACACAAACTTCTATTTTTCAAGCCATATTGATAAAATATTTGATTTCTTATAATTTTTTATTACAGGAATTATTTATATTGCTGGAGGATTAAGCGAATTGAGTACGGAACTAGATCTGTTTGAAAGCTACAATCCGGTGACAGGAGAGTGGACGACACTCTGTCCTCTGAAAAACAGACGGGCGCATGTTGGCCTGGCGGTCTTGCACGATCACATTTATGCCGTGGGAGGAACAAACAGTCTCCACGAGGCCCTCCGTTCCGTCGAACGTTACTCCGTCGAAGAGGTAAGAATTTGTTTTGATTCGGGCTAATACCAAACACAAAAATTGAATTATATACCAAGAGTGGAGAGTATTGGTATAGCATAGCATCCTAGATTGATCCAACACCAGGCTTACACCACTCTGAAAGGCATTCTCGGGGCTTGGCACCACAGACTGGAGATCTCCAGATACTACATAAAACTTTTCTCTGTCAATTCATTTCTTTTTACAGATGACAATGCTTATTAGCATAGGATCAAATTGTCAAGGATTTCCTTTGAGAAAGAAGCTAGTCCAAAAAACAAGTTAACCAGCAAAATATTCAGATCCAAACATGATTATCATTGTCTGGCATACCACAGCTAAACAAAGAACATAGATATTCTTTCACAGAACATTACACTAATTAAATTCTGTCTTTTATTAATGAAATGATTTGTTTTCAAATCTGATTGAATAAATTGTCAGAGTGTTGGTCATGAGATGATTGTATTAACAACTAAATGTCTTCATTACTGCATCTGAATCTTAGAATTTTATTTTTCCATGCTTGTATTAAAGTCAGATTATAAATTTTAGAATCATTTATCATTGCATTTACATGTGTGAGATAAGCAGAGGGTCAGAGAGACCACTTATGACCACTTACACTGCACAGGTTGTTAAAACCCGATCTCTGTGTCGGTGGATGGCTTAGGAGGGCAAAAAGTGAGTGGGGAGGTTGCGAGCATGTAGACAGGTGTCTTCACAGGGAAAGGATTGACAGGTTAACAAACAGAACATTTATTGATTAACTAAAGTTAACATACAAAATTCGGTTACAAGTCTATCGGACTAAGTGCTACTCAATTAAATGTGGTTAAATGCGATAAAATGCTACTTGGAGGAGAGTTCACAAAGTTCTAACAATTACCTCTATGTGTAAGATTGGAGGGGATGGCTGAGGTATGGCGGTCGTATGTCTTCTCCGACGGGATTCCGTTCCTGAACATGGAGATCGACGACACAAATACAGAAAAAACTTCCTTGTGTTGATCCACCCTATGTTTCCGGTAGCGCAAGCTTTTATAGCATTAGTGTGGGAAAGCCATCCAGTTGTTGACGATGACTTGCATTTCTTGACAGCTAAGTGTCAACTTTTCCACTTAACTGTTGATAGTTGGAGGAGACCTCTGCTCCGATACTCTGCAAAGAGTTTTTTCTAAGGGGGATGTTTACAAAATTTCGATCGACAGAAAAAAAAGGGAAGTTTCCTTTCATTTACAAAATTCCTGCTCTAAAATCTGCAGTCTCTAACATGCAATTAATGGACAGTTTGTATTTAAACTGAATTAGTTTATATCTTGTGCCAATATATGATATATAAATTATATATTTTCATATATTTAAAATTTAATTTTATGTCAAGTAAATGACCTAATTAAGGTATTTGATCAATAAGTAGGTTCAGTTGGTTGCAGTTGATGGTGCAGCAAGAAAGCAATCATGTAACCATAGTTTTAGTGTTGTAAGGTATACTTAAAATGTCATAAAATAAAAGTACAGTGGAACCTTGGTATACAACCATAATCGGTTCCTGATGTTTGGACTTATACTGAATAGAACATATACCAAACCAACCTTTCCCATAAGAAGTAATGTAAAAATTAGTGTTGCAATGAATAGTATATTAGGCCAAACTATTCGGCTTGATTAATGCACATACGAAAATTGGCGCGCAAAGCTCATTATGGCAAGGATCCTGCTCTCTATTGGCCTGCTGTCACTACACTTTGCCAATCACGTTAATTCTTGACAGTTGTAGCGGACAGACAAGAACGTCGTGGCAGTATGCGATAAATGATGATATCAAATGTGAATAACAATGAAATGACCTACATGTGTAAATAATGGAAAAAGAACAGAGAAGGACCACGAAGTGAAAATGTGAAAATAAATATGAAATTGAGTTGATAACATAATCAAACAAGTCGAAGCAGCTTATTGGAGCGAAATTTGCGGCCCGTCAATGCCAAACGATTGTTGTCATAGACTTCGGAAAGCTAAATGCTTGTAATGAAAGTCACTTAGTGTGCACGGGCGAAAGCCTGGGACTGTTCGGGCTACCAAGCTGTCTCGAATCTGTGAAATCATAACTGTGACATATACCGATGTCCTATCTGTCTCTTTTCTCCGTTATCACCAGGCTATGAGTCACATAATTATAAAATGGAAAAACTACAAAGGAAAAGTGACAAATCGAAAGTATCGTGAGCGCATTATAGCATACGTGGACTAGCGAGATGGAGGAAAGAGAAAGGAAATAGCAAAGACGAGCGCTTAAAAAGGATAGGCAGGGTCAGACCCTCATATGTGTGCGATGATTCTCGAACGAATAGGTGTGTACGTGTGCTGATCTTTGTAATTATAAATTGTGAATACATGTGATTAATATTATTATTTTTGTATTTTGTGCACGTTATAAGTTATAAATAAATATAAACAAACAACACTAACACGACAACATTAAATCTAAATACCAAAATTATTAATTTATTGTGTTTTTGTTATTTCTTGCTCCTGTTTTTAGATATTCGGCCGAATAGTGATTAAATATTCTGTATTCGGCTGAATACCGAATAGTATCTGAATATTCGTTACATCACTAGTAAAAATGATTAATCCATTCTCATATAAAAAAAAATGGCTGGCTTTAAACACCTCGCTTTCCTGACTAGTTCCTGCTTGATTTTTCGTGAGATCAGCATGTATTTTTTTTAGCTTTCTCTGAAATAATTGCTTCTGATACACTGTTGCCAGTACACTTTTCTTCAGTTATCCAAAGCAATTTCAATTTCTTTGCAAAAGCAATTTCTCAACATGATCTAATGTTTAGAAATTGATTTAACCCCTTTCGAAACGTTAGCAGATTTAATAATGTATTTATTTTTCACGATTGTAGATGTTGTCGTTCACGGAATACAGTATGCAACAGTTAAATCTCAAACACGCATGCCACCTTCACATTTCTCAACAATCTCTCTTTTCAGTTCCATTGTGATTCTAGTCAGTTTATTTTTCTGTTGCCTTTTTGCAATTCATGATTAATAAAAGTAATGAAATTTTACTTACAAATTAAAATCAGAAGAAATTTATAAACCGTGGCACTGCGAACGTCTAGTCTGGTCTAGTACACTGATAGTGCTACTTGTTCATAGATGGCGTGTATAATTGAATTAAGTTGTATACTGAGCAAAATTTGTTTGTCCAAACAGGATGTATTCTGAATTGGATGTATTTTAAAGCAGACGTATACCGAGGTACCACTGTACTCTAATTTCATGCAAATAACCCTATCAGTATATAATCTACATCTTCAAAGTAGTCATTAAAAACACGACACTAATATGTAGTTTAGAAGGTAATATCTGTAAATGTACAGAAATGTCTTGTTGAAATAAACAAAAACAGACAGAATATTTCAATGAGCTTAACAGAAATGAAATGGAAATGTAATGGAACAAAGAAAAGAATGGAATGTTGGGATGGACTCTGCTAAACTTTGTAAGTTTCTAAAATAAAAATAGCTGCCAAATCATAAAACTTTGTGATTTGGCAGCCATTTTTATTAGTAGTTCCTAAGTCAATAAAGAGGGAGGACAAGAAAGGCCTCATAGATATTTTAAAGATTGTCATATGAGACCAGTCATAAACACAAGAATCTGCAGTAAGCATTTGTTAAAAAACATAACACTTGCAGGAAATGTCACATTGTACAGAAAACTAAACAAGCTTTTAACTCAAACTGAACACTTGTGTATTGATATAACCAGACAGTATATATAATACACCAAAAGCTTGCATGCTCAGTAACCATGCTACAAAGACTATCTTAGAAGACAATGCATATGAAATAATATACTATGATCGAGCTACAATCATAGACAAAACAGTCAATCGCAACAGACAAGTCATCACATTCATTAATATACAAAATAGGTATGCTGACAAAAGTTAGTACAGTCGACCCCCCTATAAGATAGAGATACGTTCCATTCTTTAGGAATCCGATTTCTTACGAATCCTTCCAATCACAACCCGACACGTATCAAGTTTACGGACTATGGCTGTTTGAAAGATTTTCTTCCATAAAATTAATCGATTCTAGACTAATCCGACTCAACATTTCCAAAACACGTATAT